TGGAAAAGTTAATCAGACAGGGAAATGGGGTACATTTTTGAGATCTCTTATAAAAGTTCGAACACCGATGCCCTGGTATGGGAATCATAAAATATGCAGTTGAAAAGAAGTACAAAAGCATAGTACTTTAACTATACTTTAATCTTTAAACTTGCACTTAAAAAATATCTTAAGTAGATTTCATGCTAGAATGCATTGTTGGAGTAGCACTATTAGATGCTGTAAAGAACCTTAAATTCCACTGAGTATTACTGAAAAGGGGTAAGAAACTTATAACTAGGACTTGCTTCTCACACACATTCCCAAAGCTATAGAAACTCTGTCTCACCCGAAGTTTCAAGATTAAAGGAAACTTAGGTCTCCAGGAACACTCAATTTGTTGTCACAATGAAAGCTGAGTAGAGATCACTCAGTCACTTCCTGTAAAACAGTCAATCAGGTCAAGATGAACCACTGGTCTAGGATCACTACTGGAAACATAAATCAACTAACTGTCAATATTAGAAACAGGCTGATTTAATGTAAAGAAGAAAACAGAAAATTGCTAAAAGATGGGGACTACAGAATAGTCAACAGAAAAAGAGGGGGAAAAAAATCTTCCCCTCCCCCAAAAATCTAGAAGGATATCTTATTCTGATATATTTATGAATTTCATCTCATGTATTAATGTGCATTAAAGTTAGCTTGATACAGTAAATTGAAATAAAAAATTTCTCTTTTAAGTCAATAAACAAAAATATTAGAGGGAAATGCTGCTGAAGAGTAGAAAAATAAGACAAACTTCTTAGTGTTCCTAAAATTTGTCTCATAGGGAAGTGAACTTGTTCTTGAGAGAAGATGGATGTTTCTGGTATTTGTAAACTGATTTATGATACTGCAAACAATAACAGAAAACATTCTTAATGAATTAGGTGGGTAAACCTGGCAGAAGACTGTAACCCTTCAAAGTATTTATAAGAAAAAATGTAGGCTGAGTTTTTAATCCAGTTATAATTATGCAGTTTTAGAGATAAGGTTGCTTCTAAAGAAATAAAAATATATAAAGAACTGATCCTAAACAATTAAATAAAATTGGCTCACTTGCAGGCTCTTATGGCATCTTCTCTAGAGTAGGTTTACTATACAGTTAAACCTACTATCACTCTTTTCATCAAGAGGTTGAGAAAAAAATTAAAAAGGTCAAGAGAAATCTGAAATAACCTGGATGTGATGATTAATTCTGGGTGTTGACTTGTCTTGATTAAGGATTACAGAAACCCGTGGGGTGTGTTGTGAGGTTGCTTTCAGAGGAGATTAGCATGTGAGTCTAAGTGGCTTAAGTGGGGAACATTCACCTTCTCAGTGCGGACAGGCACCATCCAATGTGCTGAGGATCAAAAACAGAGAAAAGGTGAATGTGTGGATCTATCTACTGGAACTGGGATACAGTCTTCTGTCCTAAGACAACAGTTTCAGACTCCTGGTCTTTGTACTTTTGCAGCTTCCCGGGTTCTGAGGCCATTGGCCTTGGAGTGAGAGTTGTATCGACAGCTTCCCTAGTTCTGTGGCCTTTGGACTTGGACTGAGAACCATGCTGCCAGCCTCCCAAGGTCTCCAGATTGCAGAAGGCCTGTTGCAGGACTTAGCCTCCATAACTGTGTGAGCCAATCGCCCAGTAAGTGCCCTCTCACATATCTATCAATATATCACCTACATCTTCTATATCTATATCTATATCTATATTTATATCTATATCTATATCATCTGTATCTATGTCTTCTATTGATTCTGTGACTCTGGAGAACACTGAGTAATAAACTGAGGTATTAGAATATGTAAATGTTTGTGCATACACACAAATATACAAACTTGTTCAAACTTTTTAAATCAAATGATACATATTTCAAATGGAATAAAAATGTCTAAATTGACATCTCTTTAGTGAGATCTTACAAGAACAATGAGCAAAATGTGAGAATATTATTTTTCCTGTCATTTAACATATCCATCAAATGAAAAAAAGTTGCCCAGCTCTAACTTTTAACTTATCGATCGAATCCACCCAGCAGATTTGCCTAACCCATCTGATGTGGTGGATTCCTTTGCTAAAATTGGACCAATATAATGCCTTTTGTATTCATACATGAAACAAATATTTTAAAGGCATACTTAATTGTGGACTATAATACACTACTGTCTACTACTCCATCAATATATACATTGTTTTCTAAGGTCTGGAACAACAACAGTGGTACAAAACGTCTAAGAAAGTACAAATCAGGATGAAGAATGTAAGTTAGTATGTTTATTTCTCCAAGGTATCAAGATATCATTTAAAAAAGAAAAAATCAAAATACTAAATGAGTGTTTTCAAATATCAAATAAGATAACCTAGTAAATTATTTTGTGAGCCTTCAATTATATATGCATTTTTAATTAAAAGAAATCTTATATTATTTGTTATACATTTCAGGTGCCTTTCGTGATAGTAGATTCTATATTTACTAGTCTTCATCCTTGCCCTGTGATTCCAAGAAAAAGGAGGCAGTAGGAAGGAGGAGGAAAGGGAAGAAAAAACATTCTAAAATGAAATATGGCAATGATTTATGTGGTGGGAAAAACGAGTCTGTTCTACATTTTTAATTTCCTATTTCTACATATGCCACTACATCAGAGCTTCCCATAATTGTTTGAACAATCTCGCAGTAGACTAAATAATTCAAATATATTGTTACGTTCATAACTATTGTTTATAAAACTTCTCCAAATTCACAATTTATAAAATACGTTTCACAACTATGCTTTTAGTTAACGAATATACTAGAAGCTGTGAAAATGAGTTTCTTTCAGGTTATCAGTCTTGCTCAGTACTTATTTGTTGCCTAAAAGGGTTTTGACTGTCACTTTCATTTATCTGCACCCTATAAAGAAGACAAATAAACATATATAATATCTCAACATTTCAATGTTTCCCTCAAATTACTTTTAGTGTGACTTTATTTCTTTAGGGACTTTTTTTCCCCCACTATGAAATAGTGGAGGCTGGCCATTTAACACTAATAGAAATTCTAAGCTTTTAAAATTCTCATACTCCACAAAAGTTCTATTGATAGTCAGAAAACTGCTTCTTATTTTAACTTTACCAGTTTCTAATTGTGTGATCTTGGGCATACTGTTGAACTTGGCCTTTGCTCTCTGGAACATAGTTTCTATAGTCATAGAAATTCTAGAACATATAATTTTAAGTGCTTTTCATTAAAAAATGTTCTGACTTATAAATTATAGTGCTTCATGCTCTCAAGCAAGAATCCATCCATTTCAACTTTTTGTCATTATGACAGGACTTAAAATCCACATTGTGAACATAGTGGTCATAATGGTGGAATTAATTCCTAAGAAAGTACTGAAGGTGCTGGCTAATCTAATTGGCCAGAACACAGTTTACTAAGCCTTTCACACATTTACAATATGAGTTTAAATGTGTTTTTGTCATTCTGTTTAACAAGGGACTTATTTCAGTATCATACAAATTATAAAATCTAAAACGATTGGTTTACTTATCAAACCGCAGTGAAATCAAGTAACTACCACATTGCTGATTATGGAATTACTTTACTTAGAATAAGAAAGTGCCATACCAATATTAATACCTATGTTTTGATAATGAATAAAATTTTAAATACAGATAACCAGGTACCATCAACTAAAAAGTCAGTGTACTTTGACTGAACAACATGAAGTTCAATGAACAGTTGTAAACCATTGAAATGAATAACCACACTTCAGCTCTGAATGGATTATAACATGTTAGAAATGTGCTGATCACAATTACAGTTAAGGAAGGAAAGGATCCCTGGCTGGAACATCTCACTGAGCTTCCACTGTCTCACTGAAACTGTCTACAGGTCATTAAAATCCCAGGTGGAATAAGAAAGAAGGAACAGTGAGTGATAGGTCTGTTAAATCCATCGAAACGAACTATGCCTGACTCATTTAGATAAAATGGGAGAAATGTGGTTGGCAAAGCAGTGAAAACATGATTAATAAAAGAGTGAAATAATTTTGACACATTTGCTTCCTGTCATTTATGATATTTACACTTAATAAAATATGTTGGATCTCAAGATATAACTTTAAGAGAATCATGAATTTCTCTCCAGATCAGCATAGTGCAAAGCTAACAGTTGCCTCCAGATGGATGATGTTACACGGGTTGGATTCACAGTTACATGAATCAGATTCCTTGATAGTCATAGTAAGTGAGTATTGAGCATTTACTATGTGCCCTGACATTATGCTAAGGCTCTTTATCCATGATTTCCTTTAATCCTCAGCAAATTGCATATGAAATAAGTGCTGTTCAGAAAGTAAAGTGTCAGAAGGGAAACAAAGCTGAACTTTTGTCAAAGTTTATGACACCAGCAAGTGGTGGAAACAAGACATCACTGGAAACGTTTTTTCTTTTTGTTACCAATACAGCTGTTTCCTTCTGTATTGACGCCCCTTATCATTGCAAATTTCCATATAATAAAAACATGGAGGTCCTACAGCCTTCAGCCTTGTTTCCTCCAAGCAAAGCCACAGGTAAATTGACTTGAACACCGAATTATTGAATTATCCACCCTATGCTCCACCTTTATCACACATGGCTCTCGGGTATACAATAAAAAAGTTCCCTCTGGCACTCCTTCTCTTAACTGAAAACCTAGGTACCTTTCTGCTTCGGTTCCCTGCCCCTACACAGTTAAGAACACTTAGAGACACATTTTAACATTAACATGGAGAGAAAATGAAACCTTCATCAACAATAATTTCTTCTCAGTATAAGATGAAAATAACTGTTAGCTTGCTTAGATTGAATCTCCCTGACACAGTAGGGCCTGTGACTAACAGACACCGTTTGCAAGATTCACATGGCAGTAATTTTTATTTTGGAGGTCATTTCAGTTAGGTATTTAAGGATAAGAAACAGAATATATATAGTTTTAAATTATAAGTATATTGAAATTATGATTTCTGACCTGGATCTGTTGCTGGAGCAAATTGATTTTGTGTTGTTGCTGCAGAAGCTGCTGCTGTTGTCTTGCAATCTGTGGAGAAATTGCACATGAGAAATTTACAAGTATATTGTAGTCCCAGAGGGAAGTTACTAATGTTCTGTTTCTCAAAGTTTGATTTGACATTGATCAAGATGATGAAAGTAGATGTGTCTGTGCTCCTAAATTATTAGCAATCCATATTAAGTAAGATCAAGGAAGATATTTAGTCTTTAGAAACAGTTATGTTTCTTTTGGCTAAGATACTATGACAGTGATCAACCCCAGAAAGAAATGTCTGGTTTTCAAACATCCCTCTTGTTAGTGATACCTTAAGAAGGTACTGCTTCTGACATTTTCAGCCCTTTTCTATAAGTGTTTCACAAATGGGGAGGGGTAGGTTTAAGACTGAGGAGTTCAGAGTAGCACAAAGTATCACAAGACACTGGATTTATCAGTAAAGTTTTTGGTATATTTTTTGTTTTTAGATAAATAATTTTCCATTACTCCTTCTCACAAACTCCTAACTACCAACTCAACACATACCATTGTAGTTTCTGCTTCCATTTCTCTGCCAAAATGATTCTTAAGAAGGTTGCCAATCACATCCATTATTTAAAAATTCTGAAGCATTTTTCAGCTCTTGCCTTTTGATCTCTCATCAGAATTCAACACTCAAATGCTTTCCCTTGATCATGAACTTTCTCTGTTGGCTTCTGTGACATCATACTTTTCTGGTTTCATTTCTACCTCTCATGTCTTTTCCTTCTTAGTCACCTTTAATGGCTCTTCCAGCCACTAAATGTTATAATTCTCTCAAGTTTAGATTTTGTTCTTTTCCTTCGTACTTACTTGCATATGTAAGCCAAGTGCTTCTAAATTTGTTTCTCTAGCCTAGATCTTTGTTTTAATCATCAGATCCACTTATTGAGAGACTTATTCAAAGGTACCTCAAGTTCAACAGGCCTAAAACTAAATTTGAGATTTAGCCTTCCATATAGTCATCTTAAATATTTCCTAAATTAGGGAACAGTACAATGGCTTCCTATTCCCACTGTTATTTGCACTTATAATGCCCTCGACATTTACTTAATATTATGCCCATGCTATAACTTTGTATTTGTTTATTTATTTGTTATTCACATCTTTCTGTCTCCTAAGGAGAAGTCTATAAATTCAGTGATGGTAAAAGCCATGTAAATTTTATTCACTATTCACAGGAAGTCCGTTATAAAGGAATGCTGAATGGATATCTGATAAGAATGCATTAATAGATGATATGAAAATTGTAAACATTTCATCACATGGGATAGGATGTAACTTCTAACATCTTGAAACTTATCACTCTCTTATAAGTAAGTTCTAGATCTCATTCTCATCAAGTAATAATTGCCATTATTTTCATTTAAAAATATCTTAGCCTCTCTATCGAAAAGTAAAAAATACAGGAAAAAATTGATACATCACCATGAATAAAAGTAAAGAACCCATGTGATGAGGATGAGTCTACATGGTTATACAAAAAAAATTTTATCTCCTTTATGGATGTTGGTATAATTATAATTATTTTAATACTTAAATTTTATCTTGGGAATATGGTAAAAAAGGTTTTTTTCCTTCTTTTTTTTTGAGATATAGTTTTACTCTTGTTGCCCAGGCTGGAGTACAATGGTGTGGCCTACGCCCACTGCAACCTCCTCCTCCCAGGTTCAAGTGATCCTCCTGCCTCGGCCTCCTGAATAACTGGGATTACAGGTGCCCACCACCATGCCCAGCTAATATTTTTGTATTTTACTAGAGACAGAGTTTCACCATGTTGGCCAGGCTGGTCTTGAACTCCTGACTTCAGGTAACCCACTCACCTCAGCCTCCCAAAGTGCTGAGATTACAGGCATGAGCCACCATGCCTGACTCCAATTTTTTTTTTCCTGAAGAAAGTGATAAAGGAGGCAGTAGAAGAAGGAAGATCATATTTTCCATTAAGTCTCATTCCTTCCTCCCACATGTCAATATTTCAAATGCCATTTAAATACTTTTAACAAAACTTTCAGAATACTCCATAACCTGACTACTTCAACCTCCTGTGCACTTTCTTCTGTTCACTGTGCCTTTGTCTAGACTGTTGTAATGGCCTCCATATGCTCTTTGTGCTTTTGCTCCTGCTCCCTAAGTCTTCTTAGACCAGCATCCTGAGAGTACTTCTTAAAATATAAGTCCACTTTGGGCATCCAAGGCAGGTGGATCAAAAGGTCAGGAGTTCAAGACCAGCTTGGCCAACATAGTGAGACCAAAAAATTAGCCAGGCATGGTGGCAGGTGCCTATAGTCCCAGCTATTCAGGAGGCTGAGGCAGGAGAATCACTTGAACCTGGGAGGAGGAGGTTGCAGTGAGCATAGATCACACCACTGCACTCCAGCCCAGGTGACAGTAAGAGATTCTGTCTCAAAAAAAGAAAAAATAAAATATATGTATATACACATATATATGTATGTATGTGTGTGTGTGTGTGTGTGTGTGTGTGTGTGTGTGTGATGTTATGCTATTCACCTTTCCAAAACTCTTCTCTAACTCAGCAAAAAGGCCGGTGTGCATATAATGCCTTCAAGGCCCTATATGATTTGGCCTCCTTTTACCTCTCTGATTTCATCTCAACCCCCATTCCCCTTGTCATCCCACACCTGCCACATTGCATTCCTAACTGCCTCTTTTACATACCAAGCATGTTCCTTGAAGGATATTCCTGCTTCTGGGCCTTTGCATTTACTTTTTCCTCTGCCTGAAATACTCTGCCTAGATAGCCCCATGGCTCACTCCCATACATCCTACAGGTTTCTACTCAAATGTTCTTAGTCAGTAATGTCTTCCCTGAGCACCCATTTTAAAAGAACATATACCCACAGATAATACCCTCATCCCCAATGCCCCGCTTAATTTTTCAACACAGTACTTATCAATATATAGTTTAACAGTTTATTTATTGTCTACCCCTCTCAGCTGGATTTCAATACACAAGGAGTTTTTGTCTGTTTTATTCCCCATTCTATTCCCACTAACTAGAACAAAACCTGGCATCAAATTGGTGGTCAATGAATATTTGTCTAATAGATGAATGTGGGCTGGAGCTCAGAATCTGGGGGAAAGGCTCATCAGTAAACAGGTCCTCTGGCATTTGTAACAGCTATACCAGGAGTATTAGAATGCACAGAATGGGAACATTTGACACTCAGTAGGGAGTGCTGGAAGGAGTATCAGAAAAAGGCTTTAGAGGAGAAGATGCACCTGCCCTGACCCTTAAAGAATAAGTACTAAATGCCCTTCATAGAAGAATATGCTACCGCAGAGTGGTAACTGTGCATACCTGCTATGTATGGTGGGGAAGCACTGGGAGAGCTGAATGGGCTCTAGATACATGACCTGTGGCTATCACCAGGGATCTTCTCCCAGGCTGTGGAGGCAGCACCACAGGACATCTCTCCGACACAGGAGAGAAATTCTTGAAGAACTTAGGGGTTTGTAAAGTTCCAAGCAAAATGTCAGAGGTCTTGGGAAACTATTAGAATCAAAGGATTCTAGAATCCTTTCATGATATTCGGAGGTGGGCCAAAATGTAAAAGAGAAAAGAAAGAAACTTACTCTCCATCAGTCATTGCTTAGATCTTTCAGGACATGTGTGTCCTCAGACCCACCAAAGCAAATAGAGATTATCTACAAAAAATAGCCCCAGCCAAGCTATATATTCGGAGACTCCTAGGATTCTCCAGAATTCAGTTGACTGAAAGATTCAGAGTTAAGGACAAGGAAAGAGCGGTATTGTTTTATACTGTTATTGGCAAGCATTCCGAACTCTTCTATCATAGGGGTAAAGCAAGAGGCATATGGGACATATCCAAAAACAAGCCAACAATATATTTAATGAAAGTGATGAGGCACTTCATTAAAAATAATACTAACAACTTTTAATCAGAGATAAACCATAAACCACCAAGCAGAGAAGAGTAAAAGGAAAATAAGGGGATGGAAAAAAGGAGCTCGTCAAACATAAACTGAGTATTTCTTCATGTCATTTACCCTGCTAGCTTGTACTTGGAAAGATGTTTAGAAGGTTTTGCTGGGATATGTAGACATGCAAATATTAAACCATGGCCATCCTCCACTTGGGATGGTCAGTGGAATATGTCTAGAACATGGACCAGGAAAAGAACTTAGCCATGAAAATGAGAGCCATACTTCTACACAAACTGATACTATGACACCTCCCCTCTATCTTACCTTCCATTTACTACCAATTTCTTTAATAGTTCATAGGCATTGCCTCCATTTTCCTACTACACATTTTCCAGTTCTCATTATCTGATTTTAGCTACTAAAACGCCATAGAATCCTCACTCTTCAAGGCCGACAATGAAAATCTAAATGACAAATCTTGTTTCAATTTGATTATTAGAATGACTATTTTTCTGTAGCATTTAATACTGCTCCCTATTATCTCTTAAAATCTCCATTTTGTTTCCTATAACATTGCACTCCTGGCCCCAATTCCATATATGTTTCTTTCTGCATATGTTCATATTCCTTTCTCTGCCAGCTATATATGCCAGTATCTCTCAAAGACCTACCTTTAGTTCCTTTCTGCTTTCCTGTAATATTAGAATTGTAATTTAAGGCCTATAAGCCTGCCACACCTCTGCATAAAACACTCCTGTCCCTGATATTAACATGGCTGCCTCTTATATATAGATCTGAGCTTAACTGCCAAAGCTTCAGAAAGATCCAGCTGCCCGATCTAAGGAGCCAATGCTCCTTGTCATAGCAATCAACATCTATCTTATCACTCTGTTAATATTTTTTCAAATTATTTATCACTATATAATATCATCTTGTTAATTTGTCTGTTCCTTTATCTGTCTCTCTCTTTCCACTAAAATTTAGGGGCTTTGTCTCTCTGGTTAACTGAGACAGCCTCAACAATTAGTTAGTACAGTGCCTGGCACATAGGAAGCCCTAGATTACTATTTGTCAAATGAATGAATGAATGTTATCTCCTCCAGCAATTTAAAGCACCATTTCTCTGTAAATAACCTAAGATGCAACTGAGCTCTCTTCCAAAGTATATTTCTAGCTGTCTCTCACATACCTCCAACTGGACAACCTGACAGCATCTTTAATTCAACATCATAAAACCACTTTCTTTTCCAAACTTCTCCTGACTGCCTCTGTTTCTAGTGACGGTATTCTCAATCTCCCCATTATTAGGCTCAACAGTTTTCCTTTTCCTTTTGCCTACTCAAAGAATTCTTCTAACCATAACTCATCGACCTGTTTATTCCTCTTTTCTCTTTGTCCATGGTTACCCTGACTAATTTAGATTCTCACCCTTTTTAATTTAAAGTATTATAATAGCCTTGTAACTGAGCTTCCTGCCCCCAACTGGAAACTTGCTTTACTTGTTGAAGCCTACCAGTTCTTCAAAGCACATCTCAAATGTCAGCTGTCTAATGAATTCATTAAAAATGTTTCTTGTTGAAAATGTTCTCTTGACTCTCCATGGTTCTTTTTTGGTATTTTTCTCATGATTTATCAGAATTTACCTTGATTATAATTACTTCTAGGCTACTTACCACCAAAGTAGTTAATAAGCATCTTAAAATATGGGTTTTATCTGTGAGTAGGTTGATTTTTTTTTTTCCTTTTAATTTATTTAACTAGGGAGGTGGAAGGGACTCTTATTCATTGTTGTGTACCCAGTACAATGACCTGTAAGTAGCAGGCAAGGCAATGTCTGAATAATTTGATTGCATTGCTAGTTCTTACTCACCTGTTCTTGCTGCTGCTTGGCAAGCTCCATTTGCTGACGCTGTTTCTCAATCTGAGAGGCAGCTAGTTTCTTCTGCTCATCGTGGGCAGCCAAGAGCTGCTCTCGCAGACTGGTCAGCTGGTTGATCATACCCATGAGTTGCCTTTCTTTCTCAGCTAAGCTCTCGGGAGTCCCTAAAAATAATATGGCAATAAAACAGACAAGATAAATGAGAAAAAGTGATTATTTCAATGAAAACGACTCTGTCGTATGCAGAGCTAGTCCAAATATAAAGTTCAATAAACACAAAAACATTACCTACCTTCTTTTAGATTTTCAATCAACAGTAAAAAGTGATGGCAATTTACTGATTACAAAGTACCACAATGAACCTGGCTCTCTGGCACAATAGACAGAACACTGGACTTCTAACAAAGTACCAGAATGAGCAAACATTTTGAATGTTTTTACATTTATGACTAGTAATAATCTATAGTTTTTTTAAAAATTTTATTTTATAAGTAAATTTTTAAAATGTTGGCTGAGCATCTACTGTTTTTAATGTTCTATGCTAGGGCCTGCTGGAAATAAAACAATGTCCAAAGTACAGTTCTTGGCCTTAAATATAATAGTTTTTCATCTAATTAAAGAAGCAAGACAAAGATATAAAAAATTAATAGCTATAGTTATTAAGAGGTCAGTGCATTAGTATTAGTGATATTATTCTCCCTTTCTTAAAAAAAAAAGAAACGTAAGGATTCAGAACTAAGGAATTCTATGTTACAAGACAGCAAATATCTATTTAGCCAATCAAGTTTTAGACTGTATTCCCCATATGCCAATTCAGAGTCGATCTTCGAAAATAAAATATAGTTAACTGAGCAAATATTCAAGTTTGAGAACAAAATATACCAATTATGAGACAATGTGGTTAGCAAATTGGAATCATACTATCATCGTGTAAGCTTATGCATAAATCCAAGATTTGGAGAAGTCGTGGTAATCATTTAATATTATATTCAATTTATTTAAAACATGCCAATGAATCTTATTAAGTTAAAATTTGTAAAAAAAAATTTGCATTTAATATAAGGGAAATGTGTGCTGTTCACTGAAACAGAGACAGTATCACTTTTAATTGTTCTTTTAAAACTCACAATATAGACAAAGCCCCTATGATAAAGTACCACCAGTAGGAGAGAACACCCTCTTTAATTACAATTCTCACTTCAAACAAAAGACACTAAACACTATTTTACTCCTGCATTTGCCACCTGTATACATAATTAGATAGAAGGAATCATTATAACTTAGTCACCCTTCTTAACCCCAGTGCATTTCTCCTACCAACTTAGGCTAAAAGAGTTTGTCCTATTTTAGGAAGTTGCAGTTATAGTGAGTAGCTTATAATTTTTATATACCCATTTGGAATAGAAATAAGGGTTCTAATGTATTTTACATATAGACTAGAGAACAAATATCCAGAAAAGAAAATGTGTGAATAAGGCAGTAACCATTTCTCATACCCTTTCTTATTAACAATGCCTATCCTTATTCAAGGCAGATGGTCTATAATGTGCTGCTAATAATTTATTATACCTCAGACAGTTGGATTCCATTAGAATGAATGAACATTAACTCCATGAATAATAGCCACATCACTATTATATCCTAATATTAAATAATATAAATATATCCTGGGAAGATTTTCTTAATGAAAATATTCATATGCTAGCAAGATAAACATCTTCCTACATTGTTAGTAGAGCAGTAAATTTCTACCACATTTCAAGAAATACACAGTAGGAATAGCAATACACATCATGTCTTAGAATGCACGTAACCTACAAAGGATAATTCTGCTTTTAGAAATCTAGCCCAAGCCTGGGTGCAGGGGCTTATGCCTGTAATTCCAATGTTTTGGGAGGTCCAGCAGAAGGATTGTTTGAGGCCAAGAGTTCAAGACCAGCCTGGAAAATACAGCAAGACTCTATCTCTACAAATTTTTTTTTTAATTAGTTGAGCATGGTGGTGCGCTCCTGTAATCCTAGCTACTGGAAGGCTGAGGTGGGAGGATCACTTGAACTCAGGAATTGTATTTCACCTCAACATGCGAAAGTATGACTTAAAAGCTTAAGCAAATCAGTGCATATTCAACACCTACAACTGGTCCTGCAGAACCCAATTAAGTCAGCTCTCTACAGAGGGGTTTCACATTCTACGAATACTATATTTTGGATCTATGTTTAGCTGGGAAAAAAAAACCAGATGTAAGTGGAACTGTGGAATTCTAACCTGTACGTTCAAGAGTCAACTATATATATTTGGTGATGAGAATTAACAAATATCATTTTGTTATTAAGTATGTGAAAGTTTAACAAAATTTTTGTGTTTTTACTTAGTCATAAAGATGTAAATAAGATTTATTTCAAACTTGAAACAAAATTTCTAATTTTATAGTCCACATTCATTTCAAGCTTTTTGAACCTTCAGCCCATCTTGTTGCATCTTAAGCATTTTCACATGACTTCCCAGACACAATTTCATTCCATTTCAACTCCTACTTAGCTAACCTTTTCTTCTCAACCTTTTTCACTGACTCCTCTTCTGCCACCCATAAATGCCCATATTCTTCCCAGTCTCATTGTTTACATTTTCTGGCCTTGAACTAACATGCTTTAACCTCTAAGCACTATATTTCAGCAATGCTTTGCATATTTTAACCTACTGAGTTCTAAAATACGTAGTCTCATAGTCAATGAAATAATATATGTGCCAACCCAAAGATTGTCCCCCAGCCCTAGTAACCTATATTTAGATGCAGAATAGGGTATCTCTGAGGGTGTATCTCAGTCATAAAATTCAACAAGCAGAGTAAAACTCACCATTTTCCTGTAATTTTAAAGCATTATCACCAATCAGCATTCTAAAATATTTAAGAACATCTTCAATTTCCTTAGCAACTACCCATCCCTCCAATGATCATATTAACCAATCACAGTAATTTTTTCTCAAAATAGGTTTGTTTTTCCTTTAATTTTAGTTAAAATTATATTTTTCAATATTATGTTCATATTAGTAAATAATGATGATGAAGGAATATAGTAAAAGATCTCCTTCCAACACTGTCCCTTCAAAAGTAACCACTATTATTACTCTTTGGTGTGTCTTATTCTTGTTACACTGACTTAAGCATATACAATAATATTTCTCTATTAGTTTGACAGGGCTGCCATAACAAAGTACCACAGACTGGGTGGTTTAAACGACAGAAATTGCCTTACAGTTCTGCATACTAGAACTCTAAGATTAAGTTGTTGGCAGGGTTGATCTGTTCCAGGACTCTTTCCTTGGCTTGTAGGTGTCTGTCTTCTGTGTTCACATTGTCTCTCAGCCTGTACATATCTGTGTCCAAATTTCCTCTTCTTATAAGGATATCAGTCATCTTGGATTAGGACCCACCTAATAAGCTCATTTTAATTTAATACCCTTTGTAAAGATCCTATCTTCAAATACGTTCCTATTCTTAGGTTCTAGGCATTAGGACTTCAGCATGTGAATTAGGGTTGGTAGACAGGGGGAAGGTGCATAGTTCAGCCCATAAGAATGCCTTTTACACAAATGACAACATAACATAAATACTGCTGTACTGACTTAAAAAGAGCTCTTGTTCTAGCCTCCCTTCTCTATCTTCACTGCCATTTTTGTCATCTTTTTTCATGAATTTCTGTAGCAAATTTTTAAAATAGAACTTTTAAAACAGAACTTCCTGTCACCAATTGATCTCTGTACAAATGTATCTTCTAAAACTGGTACCAAAATTGCCTTCCTAGATAACAAAGTGATGTCATGTCAAAGTCTAGTCCTGTCACTTCCCCTGTTTAAAGACCTCAATTGCTCCCCACTGGCTTCAGAAAAAATTGTCAAGTCATTATTATGAATTAATGAGGTCCTTCAAAATATTACCTAATCTTCCCACTTCCTCTGTGCATCCTAAATCTAGCCAAACTGAATGTTCTAACATTACCCCACCACTCCACCACTCTAAGCACTTGCACATGCCATCTTGAACGAGTGCCTTGCCTGGGCCAGTCTCTCCCTAAACATTCATTCTTCATGTTCCAGCTCACGCATCTTGTTTTTTGTGGCTCTTTTCCTGATTTCCACGTATAACAGTTGTTCTCTTCTTTGGGAATCTATACAGCATATGTGTAGATCTTTATTATAGTATTAATTTATTGCATTGTATTAACTTACGTTCACATTTTTCTCTCAAAGTCAGGAGAGATAGCTGCAATAGCAGCAACTATAAATGATGGACTTTTCTATTCTCATTACCTACTATAGGTAGCGGCAAGTAGCATATGCACTGAGTATAGAAATCATCTAATACTGTTTAATGAATGACATAAAGAATAAAGCCCCTACCCTTTAAGCCATTCTCAAATTTAAACATGCATAGGGATTCTAGTTTTGGCTTAAGAGAGTTGAGCCAAAAAAAAAAAAAATACACTTTTGTGAAAGAAATCTTCCTTATTTTTATGAAAGTACCAAACTGAGATGAGGAAGTCCATCCCATGGCTTCATCTCTAAATTATCACGTTCTTCACAGTCATCCCCAAGTGGTTAGAGAGGAGTTAATAAGTGGTCTGTGAGCAATGGAGAAAAGTAGCAAGAGTCATAAGATATCCGTGACATTAAAAAAGTGAAAATAATATGAACTAGATCCTTAGAATATTCCAGAGGTCTCCCAGCAAAAAGAGGAGCTACTCTTTATTCACCTAAATTCAGGTTTTTAAGAGTCATAACTAATACATATGTATGTCTATACAGTGTATAACCCTATGGAGACACAGTCATGTATATATGAACTTGTTCCATCTGAGTCAGAGAGCTAATGCCATGAGTTCACTTATGTGTGACTGATGGTAATTTATTTTCATGTTTCAGTTACTTGGATTCTTGTATGTTTTGCTAGTTCTAAGCTAGTTCTGTTCCAATCCCCTTAGAATGAGAGATTACTGAAGACACAAAATTATTGTTTCAGTCTTCCTCCTGCCAAAAAACTGCAGGCATGGCAGTCATTTATACTTCTGTATTCCATAGAAGCAGTACAGGTCAGATTCCTTAATATAATGAGACAAAGTCATGAAAGAAGAGAACCAGCTTCAGTCATCGCCAGCTCAGTAAAAGA